AGAGAGAGAGAGAGAGAGAGAGAGAGAGAGAGAGAGAGAGAGAGAGAGAGAGAGAGAGAGAGAGAGAGAGACAGAGAGGGAGAGAGAGAGAGAGAGAGAGTCGCATCAATCAATCAATCAATCAATCAATCAATCGATCAATCTATTCAAAAGCACTTTGTATTCCTCTCCCTTTTTTTCCTATTTCTTTTTTCCCCCGTAGTGTTTCCTTTCGATTGCGTGTTTATCCACTCTTTCGCAATATACTTCTGTCCTCCTCCTTCACCGCAGCATCGCTGCGGCGGGTCCACTTGTGTTTATTGAAGTATGATTTCACCTCTTGGCAATGTTTGTTTTCTATATCTAATTAACTAATAGCGTTATCAACATTTAAGTAACCTTCCTTTCTTTTCAGCCTTTCTCTACCTCAGTTGCTGCGAAGATGGTCCCATGAAGTCTGTGTAGGGAGGCTGTGTAACGCCTATCTCGAGAATTTTATTGATATGAAAGGAGTTCAAAGGACTCACGCTGCAGATACCCAGTCCCTGTCCCAAGGTCCTGACAAGCCCTAAGTCCCAGGGCCGTTCTGTAGGGTAGGCCGTAGGACCCTAAGGTCGAAGCACTGTAGGTCTGTAGTTGTTGTTACCGAAGCGTCGTAGGTCGGTAGGGCTCTGCCCGGTACCCGACAAGAAAAGTCCAGAAGCGTCCAACTCCAGTCCGACAGTTCCCAAGTCCAATTTTGCAGCATGTCCCAGGAAAGTCCAGAACGTACCGGACCGACAAATTGTTTGCAGCAGACAGGCCGCGGCTGACCGGCACCGGTCTGAAGCAGGCCAAGCCAAGCCAAGCCACGGGGAGACAAGTCCTATATTTAACTGCTACAGTGCAGCCACTCATCACTTGTTCTGTTGCGAGATGCGGAAGCGCTGCTGCTGCTTGTGCGTTACAACAACTTGGGCACTGTGCGCCCGAAGAGGAAGTGGGCGCCTGAGAGTTAGTCAGTAGCTACTTAGATGTAGAGCAGGGAGACTGCAGCCATAGCCGCCAAGGTGTAAGATACCTGAGCGGGTGTATCCAGGGTAACCATCCAGGGAAGAGAGAGGGACAGACAAGAGAGAGAGAGAGAGAGAGAGAGAGAGAGAGAGAGAGAGAGAGAGAGAGAGAGAGAGAGAGAGAGAGAGAGAGAGAGAGAGAG